TTTTGTTGCTTGGAGATGTCCCAGGGTTGGTGAATATCCAGCCTGTGTCCTGTATTGTATAATTAAAATAAGTGGAATTTTGACTTACCTGTAAATTTCATATTCTGGTGTGCAGTATGGGATGCGAGACACCCTCCCTTCTATTTGTTAGTTATTTAGCATTGCTTGCTAAGAGTAACTGAGGTCTGAGTGTAGTAGGCTTCGTAGGTGTATGCCCAGGGGGCAGCCTGGGTCCTGTACTATATTCCAAGATAAAGAATTTACAGATGAGTCCAATTTTCTCTTTTTAAAAAATTTGTATGCTCAGCAGTTATAGAATGTGTTACCTTTTTTTAAAGCTTTGACAAAGTTATAATTTTTCTGCAAAAAAAAATAAGCTGTTGTAAACAGGATATATGCGATGATGAAATATTGATGTATTGTTTTTGATGCATTATTCCAACTTAGGGAAAGTGCACATGTATAATTGTGTTCTTTACAATTTCAGTAAAAGGTTTGGTCAATTGTCTAATGAAAACTTAAGATGGGCTAAATGAAAATAGGAAATCTTACCCAACAATTTTCATGCTTGGGTTAATTTTAGCAAAAATATTCTTCATATATTTAGTACTTTGTATCATCTACCGTGCCATGAAAAAGTATTCATACTCCTTGAAATTTTCCACATTTTGTCATGTTACAATCAAAAACAAATTTTATTTTATTTATAGTTTTGTGTTCAGCCTCCTTTTACTTTGATATCCCTAACTAAAATCTAGTGGAACCAATTGCCTTCAGAAATCACCTAATTAGTAAATAGTCAACCTGTGTGTAATTTCATCTCTATATAAATAAAACTGTTCTGTAAAGCCCTCAGAGGTTTGTTAGAGAACTTTAGTGAACAAACAGCATCATGAATGCCAAGGAACACACCAGACGGGTCAGGGATAAAGTTGTGGAGAAATGTAAAGCAGGGTTAGGTTATAAACAAAAATCACAAGTTTTGAACATCTCATAGAGCACTGTTCAAGCCATCATCTGAAAATGGGAAAGCGTATGGCACAACTGAAAACCTACCAAGACATGGTCATCCACCTAAACTGACAGGCCAGGCAAAGTGAGCATGAATCAGAGAAGCAGCCAAGAGGCCCATCATAACTGGAGGAGCTGCAGAGATCCACAGTTCAGGTGGGAGAATTTGTCCACAGAACAACTATTCGTTCACTCCACAAATTTGGCCTTGATAGAGTGGCAAGAAGAAAGCCATTGTTGACAGAGAGCCATAAAAAGTCCTGTTTGCAAGAAGCAATCTGGGGGACACAGCATGTGGAAGAAGGTGCTCTGGTCAAATAAGACAAAAATTGAACTTTTTGGCTTAAAAGCAAAACTCTATTTGTGGCGGAAAACTAATACTACACATCAACCTGAACACACCATCCCCACCATGAACCATGGTGGAAGCATCATGTGGGGATGTGTTTCTGGAGCAGGGACAGGGAAGCTGGTCAGAGTTGATGGGAAGATGGATGGAGCCAAATACAGGGCAATCTTAGAAGAAAAACTGTTAGTTGAGACTGGGGTGGAAGTTCACCTTCCAGCAGGACAATGACCCTAAATGTGCAGCCAGAGCTACAATAGAATGGTTTATCCAATTGAGAATCTGTGGCAAGACTTGAAAATTGCTGTTCAAACGCTCTCCATCCAATCTGACAGAGCTTGAGCTATTCTGCAAAGAAGAATGGGGAAAAAAATGTTTTCTCTAGATGTGCAAAGCTGGAAAAGACATACCCAAAAAGACTTGCAGCGAAAGGTGGTTCTACAAAGGGGGCTGAATACAAACGCACGTCACACTTTTCAGACATTTATTTGTAAATAATTTTGAAAACCATTTATTATTTTTCCTTTCACTTCACAATTATATGCCACTTTGTGTTGGTCGATCACATAAAATCCCAATAAAATACATTTGCATTCTTCTTGTAACATGACAAAATGTGGAAAATTTTAAGTGGTATGAATACTTTTTCAAGGCACTGTTCAGCATTAGTCACAATATCATATCATCCTGTGGTATAGAACATTTGCTTTTGGATTTCCTTGTCTCTTAATCCTACGAAAGCAGTTATGCTTAAAGTTCAAAAATACACTTTCCTTAGGAAATATATAGTAGTCGCCTTTACCTCAAAGTTGATCTTGCTGTCAAACAATATTATTCAATATGCACCATTTTGCACTTTTTATCCCCATCACAGACAAAACTAATGGCTTCTTTTTAATATAGCATAGTCTTCTATCTACTGAGTGAAAGATCCAATGCCTCAAAGCCAAACTAAACTCCGTCAACATTAAAGCAGTTGTAAAGGCTTAAGGTTTTTTTCTTCATGCATTCAATGCATGAAGGTAAAAAACCACCTGTGTGCAGCAGTGCCCCCCAATACTTACTGCAGTTCCATCAAGATCCAGGGATGTGCAGGACAGCCCCTGCTGTCCTGGGTCTCTACCTCCTCATTGGCTGAGACAGCAAGCAGGAGCCAATGACTCATGTTTGCTATGTCAGCCAATCGCAGCCAGGCAGCCAATGAAAGAGGGGGTGGGGCCAAGCCACGGCTCTGTTTGTCAATGAACATATGGAGCAGCGGGTGCCCCCATAGTGAGCTGCTTGCTATGGGGGCACCCGACAGAAAGGTGGAGCCAGGAGAGCCTGCGGGGGTCCCGAGAAGAGGAGGATCCAGGCAGCTCTGTGCAAAACCACTACACAAAGCAGGCAAGTATAGACATGTTTGTTATTTTACCAAAAAAAAAAAAAAAAACCTTTTAGTATTGCTGTAACTATTTTTTAATCCTTATGCGGCTAACCATGATAAATAGACAGGTATATTATATTTAGTTTTTAAAACTTCTTTTTTTTTTTTTTTAACAATCTTTCAGTTGCTTCCTGGTTTCTGGCCTAGGCCAAAATGATGTCATACATCCCATGAGTCTTCATGGATATTTATTTATTGGGAGGAGGGGCTTCTTCAGCTAAGCATACCCTCCTGCCTGCATGCTTGAGCTAAGGGCAGATGACTTCCAGAAAGTAAATGCTATATGAATCATCTGCCCTTATTCAAATGGCCATGGCTAGAAATGATAGGGGGTTGTTTTTCAAAGGGATCCCTCAATAAAATAAAGCAAGGTGTCAGAGCCTGGGTTCGAACCTGGGCCCTCTGTGGTGAGAGACAATGTTTCTTCTTGCTGAGCCACCTGGAATGCTGGACAGCTCCCTTGACAATTCTTTGGATGATCCTGCCTTGGCCCTGTTTGTCTTGAACTCCTTGCTCCTCCCATGAACTTCCTATAAATGCCATGTCCATGCACTTCCTCCTTGCCAGATTATTGTGCCTTCCCAGCCAATATCCCGCTTATTGTTCCTGCTGCTGTCTAAATCTTCGTTACTGACCTTTGGCGTGCTACTGACTACGATTTTGTCTCATCCTTATCCACTACCCTTTGTGACTGACTCCGCTTCTGTTTGATCCCTACCTGTTTGATCCGCTATTGGTTTCCAGCTTGCTCATTCCCTGGTGGGGTGATCCTGAGATCTGCGATCTGGTATTAACACGCATCCAAATCCATCTCCACCATTAGGAGCTCTGGTGAAGACCGGTTTATACTTAGACCCCCGCACCTCAGGTGAGCTTGCGTCATTCCCAGGGTGACCCGCTGGTGTACCTATACTGCTGGTTCCAGGTAAGCCTTATACTGCTGTAGCAACTGGTCTCTGAACCTGACCTTATACCGTGACACAAGAAGACATGGATGAATGGGTAAATTTGCTTTGAATTTTAAAAAAATTAATTAAATAGTATTTTACATTTTTAGTACTCGATACGGTTCTGCATTAACAAAGTCCTTAATAAAGAATCTCCATTTTTTTCCACAATATTACTTGTATATCTTGCAGGAGCCTCAGCTCTACTACACACGTGTGTGTGTGTGTGTGTGTGTGTGTGTGTGCGCACGTGCACATAAGACGGGGTAACTGGTAATGCAGTACCAACCTTCTTACTCTTGAGAAAGTAATCCAATTCAACTATGTCCAGGTGGTGGTATCAAACCAACACTTCACCCATCGCGGGACTTTATCTTGGTGTCTACTGAATCATTTTGCATTGAAACATTAATATTGTACATTAAATGTTGGCTGGCAGAACCATTGAAGATTTCAGTTTCAACTCTTAATGTGGTTCTAAATGCAGACATTTTTTTCTTTTTTTTACCTTAATGCATTCAATGCATTAAGGTTGAAAAAAAAAAAAAACTGGTTGCAGCGCCCCCCCCCCTCAGCCCCCCTTATACTTACCTGAGCCTCATCTCTGTCCAGCAGTGTACCTCCCCTCATTGACTCACACAACTCCTGCTGCAGTCAGATACAGCCAGTGAGCCAATGAGGAGAGGGGACGGGGCTGAGCCACGCTCTGTGTGAATGAACAATGTCCATTCACAGGAGCATGGTATGGGAGCAAGCCTGCTTGAGTGCCCCCATAGAGGCTTGCTATTGAGGGCATTTGGCAGGGGGAGGTGCCAGGACCACCAGCAGGGGACCTTAAAAGAAGAGGCTGCTCTGTGCAGAACCAGTGCACAGAGCAGGTAAGTATACCATGTTTTTATTATTTAAAAAGAAAATTACAACCTTTAGAATTGCTCTGAGAATGTGGAAGAAATTAAAAGTGTTCTGCTTAATATAGCTGAATATATTAAATGAGCTACAGTCGGTAGGTACCTTCCTCTATGAACATAATTAGCGTGCTTTTAGACACACTCATTGAATAAATCCTACTGAGTGGCTTTTATTTTCTGCTTGGGATTTATCTTCTTATGAAGATTGCCCTGTCTGAATGGCCTTAAGCCTGAGTTTATTAATCTCATTAGTACACTGACTGATTCTTTTTTTTTCTTCCTCCCTAGAGTTACTTTTTTTAATAATTATGATTTAAGTTAGTTTCCAGTTTGATTTAGAATAACAGAGTTTTGTTTTCCAGATTTATGGTGGGATGTGGACGATGCGATGATTGGTTTCATGGAGAATGTGTTGGCCTCAGCCTTGGTCAAGCACAACAGATGGAAGTGGATGATAAAGAATATATATGTGCTAAGTGCTGTGTGGAAGAGGAAAAGATGGACACATCACAGATTATTACTTCCAGCGATAGTCAGAAACCGGATCAACTCCAAGAGCATAAAACTATGGAAATGAATAAACCAGCGACAGCAGGATACCCAGGTTTTACCCTATGAAAAATCTAAGCAGGCAGATGATACCATAAAACATAAAGTTAAAATTTCCAAAAAGGTACAGTATAAATGTTAATGGGCAGATGGTTTAACATTGAATTCCAGGCTTATACTAAAAAAATCTTAAAATTGCTTCCACCCCCCCTTTTAATACCTATACTAACTACCCTGTAGAAGAAACATACATATACATAACTGTTCTCTGGCTGCTGTTTTTCAGTCACATGATCTCCCGTCAGTCAGCGCTGGTTACAGGGGAGAGTCGAGAGCACTCTTAACAACTGCTGTCCCTTACGCTGCTGCTAGTGGACAGAAGAGAGCTGATCATCTGACTGGACAAGAGCATCCTGAGCGAGGACAAAGCCATTCAGTGCCAAGGGCAAAGAGGCCAAACTGCGCTACCCTTCCATCACAATGTGTGAGTTTCAGGCTTCCTACCACCAGCAGCCACCCATGTTTGCATCACTGTGCAGCTCCAGATCTGCCAATAAGTTTTCACGTGGACCCGGAAGTGCACAGTGACATTGTGGGACCTTCCAGCTGTGTTCTCCACTACTGTTGGTCTCCATGTGCTGCCTATAAATAGTACTGCACTGGCCAAAGTAAAAAAAAACAAAACAAAAAAACAGGCAGACCAGGAATACCAGTCACAGTATGTAGTTGCACCGATTAGGGAATAATGCCAGGTTATGTCATACCACCTAGCTATATATTGAGTATTTAGTAGCTAATACACTAAAGAATTGGTAATCCCAACGTTTCATATTCCTGATATGTGCCTGCTGTACCATGTAGTTGTATGAAAAAGTATCCTGTTCTCTTTGTATTGCTTCCTTTGTATGAAATCCCTGATGTGTTTTCCAGTCCCTCTTTTCTATTAAACATTGACCTCACTAGGCATGAGAGCAAGTCGTGGTAGGTTTTCTAGCTGTGCTGAGAATTCAGCCTGCTCTCCAATGATCAGGCTTATGCTGACATGCCTCCCCCTGCACAGTCATTCACTTGGAAGACCAGTGTAGTCCTGTTTCCCCTCTCTAAGCTCATTGTGCAGCTGAGAACAGAGGGTATGTGATTACTTGTAAAAAAAAGGGGAAAATAGGTTTTTATAATTTTTTTATGTGTATAAGCAAATGTTTTGCCTTTCATTTCTATTTTAAACTGAATGGGTTGTTTTACATGGTGAGGGTTCACATATAGTTTAAATCTAGGTTCAGGACTTGGTTTTGCTTAGTTTTGCTGTGTCAAAGTGCCACCTATCTTTAGATTTGGAATAATGGCACTTTCACAACATTTCACATTAACAATTATGCATTAGCGCAGTGCATAATCTTCAAAGTACAGTAGGGGTGCTAATTTTGAATGGGCTGGCATTACAAACACGTGATGAAGAGCAGTTGTGCTACTATATACAGTGCCTGGAGAAAGTATTCATACCCCTTTTCCATATTTTGTTATGTTACAACCAAAAAAGTAAATGTATTTATGTGAATTTTATGTGATCGACCAACACAAAGTGGCACATAGTTGTGAAGTGGATGCAAACAGAAATAACCCCCTTTGGGAATTTAATGCAGCTGACATTCTATCACACATATATTCATAAACTTTTTGCTTACTTCATTGATGGACACAGCTGCTTCTTCTTTAGCCGTAAACAAACAGGGTTTTATAGCCCCACCTACAGGAGTAGGACACTAGGCAGAAAAAAATTGGCATCTCCTATGGGCAGTCCTCTCTGGGCATAAAACCCCCTCTCTGCTATAGGCCTCCAGTCATTTCTGCCTAGTGGCTTCAGGAGTATGGATGTGATGTTTTTTTTGCTGGGACCTGTGGTTTTTTTCCTTATTCCCTGGAATTTTCTTTTTTTTTCCCTGCAGAGATCTATCAACAGTCAGGCTGGGTGACTGGCTGTGTTCAGTCGTCCACGACGATGCCCCATCCTGGACTGGGGTGGCCAGCGAGTTAAATGTCTCGCAGGAACACATATGACCAGGCGTCTATAGTCTGTGTCACAGTGTAACCCTGGCTGGCAGCCCCTCCACTTCGGTGGAGGGGAGGATCTGTCATGGGAGTGTTAACCGCACGCTCCATGGATTGGTAAGTAGATGCCCCCTCTCCCTCACCGCATGCGTCATGGGTGTGGGTACTGTCTGCTGTGGTCGGTCCCTGCAGCGTTCTCCTCCCCCCTCCAGGCTTGCTCTCCTACATCATCCCCACTCCAAGATCCTTGAGGTGTTTTGTAGCAGGGTGCGTACTCTGTTACCCTGTTTTCCCTGTGCCGGGGGGGGTTAGCTGAGCAATACCGGGCTGTTTTAGTGGTGTTTTGCGCTGTTGTGGATCTGTAGCCCAGATGCACTGTGTCCTCTGGCCTGGTTAGCTGTGGGTGCTTGTCCTCTGATGCCCCCTCTTCCCCCCCCCCCCCCTCAGATTTAGTGATCTCCCAGAGGTACGGGGGGGGCATATGGGTGGTACCACTCCTGCACCTCTTTGGGATGCTTGAGGGATTGTTGTTGGGAGGCCTGTGAATGTCACCACGTGGTCAGGCCCCCTGCCACTTTAGGCCACGACTTTGCGGCCTGCTAGCCATGCAGCACTGCCCGCCATTTGCTCTGCCAGGGGTGGTGCTGTGTGACCGGCCCTGGCTAAGGTAGCTGCAGTCGCCATTTTCCTTTTGGGCATCTGCCTCCCATGTAGGTCCCTCTGCACTGCTCACTGCAGAGATGCTGGCAGGGGGGAATCAAGTCTAGTAGGAATACCTTCTGAAGCGGCGTGGTGCCTGGAGGCTGACCTGGGGTAGTAGAGTGCCCCCATCTTCCTCCATGCTGTTGTACATGGAGGTTAAGATGGCTGTTGACAGCCATGTTGTTGTGACCTCAGCCGGTGGCCATGTTTTTGTGGATCATGCAAGTACTTCCCTGGAGTGACCCTAGCCAGGAAACACCTTAGGGTTTTCTAAGATGCTGACGCTGGATCACGGTGAGTAATCTCTGCACCTGGAGGTGATACATCAGCTTTGCCTTTGCTGGGGGACTCAAGACGTGGATCTTCTGTTGTCCTGTTTCAACCAGTAGGTTCCAAAGCCCGTGGCAAGACCGCTGGATCATCTGCTGGCTGCCACCAGCACCTTGGTTGCGGCCAGCAGACGATCCAGCGGTCTTGCCACGGGCTTTGGAACCTACTGGTTGAAACGGGAAAACAGAAGATCCACGTCTTGAGGATCAGTACAATCTCGTTTGTCTTTCCGCCCCTCTGCTTGATTCCTCACCTACTATGCAGGTTGGAGGCCGATAGGATCCAAGTCATCCTGGTGGATCCAGATTAGCCTCACCATCTATGGTATGCCGAGATGGTGGCAGACGCTCCCAAGCAAATGCCTCTTGGGGAGGACTTTCTGTCTCAGGATCCGGTGTTCCACCCTGCTTTCCCTTCTCTGGCCTTGAGAGACTGGATATTGACCGTGAGCTTTCCGGAGCATGGGGGGTTGTTTGACTCGGTGAGTCCCACTATGTTAAGGCTGGTGAGTCTGATTATGTTAAGGCTCATAAGTCTATCTCCCGATGATTGATCATTTTCTCCTGGAGGCCTTATATCATTTGGTGCGAAGCCTTTGTGTTCTATCCTCGCTCCTTCTCGACTCGGGTGCTGGGTTTCTTTCTACATGGCGTTGACCAGCAGCTTGTGTTGAGTACATCCAGGGTCACATTTCTGCTTTAGCTGTGTGCTTTCAGTGCTGGCCAGACTGTCTTTAGTTTGCACATTTATCCGGGGGGGGGGGGGGCCTAATGTAGTGCCCAATGCACTGCACATTGCAAACCATGGGACTTGCAAAAGGAGTCTACCAAAAAGCTAACAACACCAAATGCAAGGATATTTCCTTGCTTCCTCTCTCGCAGAAGGTTGCCTTACTAGTCGCTATCAGTTTGGCTCAGTGGGTGTCTGGACTGACAACTTTGTCCTCTAAGCTGGCTTATTTGCTTCTGCACTAGGATATAATGGCGTTTTTAAAAACACACTGGCTCTGATAGCTATTCCAGGTATATATATTCCCTTTTGTAAGATTACAGCAATACATCATTTCCAAAAAAAACACTGACATGTTTTAATCATTTTACTTTTAGATCATCTTCAGGGGCATAAGAGCAAGAGGGATCTCTTGAATGGACATATTTGAGATTAGTAATAAGTTGTGTGTAAGGACATCAATAATTAACAATTATACAATCTCCATTTTCATACTTACAAAATAGTTATGCGGTTAATGTTTATCAGAGCTATCTTAAAAATACTGGCATTCAAGATGGGATTGCGTGCTCCAACATTTGATGGTGTAAGTAATCAGGAGGACAAGAGTGGTCACAAACCCATCTTGCCATACTGGCAGCAGAGAGGGAAAATATAATCACATTCTATATCCTTCTATAGTCATCATCATAAGAAAACATAAAAAATTAGAGACCAAAACATTTACAAGTGGCAAAAAAATATAAGCCAATCAATGAGTAAAGTGCTTGACCGTATGTGGGGCGAAACTGATGGACACAATGAGCTAGCATATTCCTCGTTCTGTAGCAAAGATACAGAGAATTCCAAAGGGCCAGAGGCGCTATTCCCAGTTGTCTCCTCTGTAATAAAAACCAAATGGGGCCATAAAGGTAACAACCACATACAGCAAGTGTGCATGTCTCCCACTATAAAAAGGCTGACTATTGTATCCATGAATACATACCACCATCTAAGAAGGGGAAAATAAGTCCAAACCCCTAAGCGATTGTTCAACAAATCTCTCTCCACACTTCCACCTGGCAATATAGAAATATATGCACAAAGGGGGATATAAATCAGCCAATTTTCCCATTTACTAGCATCAAATAACCATCATAGGTGGAGAGAAAAAAAAAAAATCTGTGCTTACCAATCCATCCAGTGTCTAATGAACAACTACCTCCAACAAACAAAGCCAGCAACAAACTACCTCCAACAAACAAAGCCAGCAACAAACTGCAGTAATGTCTCCAAATATCTATCTATCTGTGTGTGTGATACAATTATCTCATTAGGGAGTAATCAAATCAAACTGTGCTGTCAGTAAGAGATGATGCGGATTTTTGGATCCAAAATGGCATCTGTATACAATTGTGAAATGGAAAGAAAATGATTTTCAAAATTTTTTTTACTAATATCTGAAAAGTGTGGCATGCATTTGTATTCTGCCCACAAATCAATACTGTGTGTGTGTGTGTGTGTGTGTGTGTGTGTGTATGTGTGTGTGTGTGTGTGTGTGTGTGTGTATATGTATATATGTGTATATATATATATATGTGTGTGTGTGTGTGTGTGTGTGTGTGTGTGTGTGTGTGTGTGTATGTATATATATATATGTGTGTGTGTGTATATATATATGTGTGTGTGTGTGTATATATATATATATATATATATGTATGTGTATATATGTGTTTTATTTACGCACACACACATGCACACACGCAAAAAAGTATTTAGTCAGCCACCAATTGTGCAAGTTCTCCCACTTAAAAAGATAAGAGAGGCCTGTAATTGGCATCATAGGTAGACCTCAACTAAGAGACAAAATGAGAAAAAAGAAATCCAGACAATCACATTGGCTGATTTGGAAAGAATTTATTTGCAAATTATGGTGGAAAATAAGTATTTGGTCACCTACAAACAAGCAAGATTTCTGGCTCTCACAGACCTGTACCTTCTTCTTTAAGAGGCTCCTCTGTCCTGCACTCATTACCTGTATCAATGGCACCTGTTTTATACTGATAACAAGTTCAAAGACACCTGTCCACAACCTCAAACAGTCACACTCCAAACTCCACTATGGTGAAGACCAAAGAGCTGTCGAAGGACACCAGAAACAAAATTGTAGACCTGCACCAGCCTGGGAAGACTGAATCTGCAATAGGCAAGCCGCTTGGTGTGAACAAATCAACTGTGGGAGCAATAATTAGAAAATGGAAGACATACAAGACCAATGATAATCTCCCTCGATCTGGGGCTCCACGCAAGATCTCACCCCGTGGGGTCAAAATGATCACAAGAACGGTGAGCAAAAATCCCAGGACCATACGGGGGGGACCTAGTGAATGACCTGCAGAGAGCTGGGACCAACGTAACAAAGGCTGCTATCAGTAAAACACTACGCAGCCAGGGACTCAGATTCTCCAGTGCCAGACGTGTCCCCCTGCTTAAGCCAGTACATGTCCGGGCCCGTCTGAAGTTTGCTAGAGAGCATTTGGATGATCAAGAAGAGGATTGGGAGAATGTCATATGGTCAGATAAAACTAAAATAGAACTGTTTGGAAGAAACACAACTCGTCGTGTTTGGAGGAGAGAGAATGCTGAGTTGCATCCAAAGAACACCATACCTGCTGTGAAGCATGGGGGTGGCAACATCATGCTTTGGGGCTTTTTCTCCTCAAAGGGACCAGGACGACTGATCCATGTACAGGACAGAATGAATGAGGCCATGCATCGTGAGATTTTGAGTGCGAACCTCCTTCCATCAGCAAGGGCATTTAAGATGAAACGTGGCTGGGTCTTCCAACATGACAATGATCCCAAACATTTTGTCTCTCATAGTTGAGGTCTACCTATGATGCCAATTACAGGCCTCTCTCATCTTTTTAAGTGGGAGAACTTGCACAATTGGTGGCTGACTAAATACTTTTTTGCCCCACTGTACACACACACACTAAATTGCCAATAGTATTGGGACACCCCTCCAAATCATTTAATTTTAGGTGTCCCAATCACCTCCATGTCATTGGAGTATAAAATCAAGTGCCTACGCATGCAGACTGCTTCTACAAACCTTTCTGAAAAAATGGGTCACTCTCCGGATCCCAGTAAATTCAAGCATGGTACCGTGATAGGTTGCCACCTGTGCAATAAGTCCATCCATGAAATTTCCTTGCTACTAAATATTCCACGGTCAACTGTTAGTGGTATTATAACAAAGTGGAAGCAACTGGGAACAGCAGCTCAGCCACGAAATGGTAGACCACGTAAAATGAGAGACTGGGGTCACAGTGCTCAGAAGTCGCCAGATGTCTGCAGAGTCAATAGCTAAAGACTTCCAAACTTTGTGTGGCCTTCAGATTAGCACAACAGTGTGTAGAGAGCTTCATGGAATGGGTTGCCATGGCCAAGCAGCTGCATCTAAGCCTTACATCATGAAATGCAATGCAAAGCGTCAGATGCAGTGGTGTAAAGCACGCCGTCACTGGAATCTAGAGCTGTGGAGACATGTTCTCTGGAGTGACGAATCATGCTTCTCTTTCTGGCAATCCAATGGTCGTGTCTGGGTTTGGTGGTTGCCAGGAGAACGGTACTTGCCTGACTGCATTGTGCAAAATGTAAAGTTTGGTAGAGGGTGGATGCTTTTCAGGGGTTGGGCTTGGCCCCTTAGGCTGGCCATACACTATACAATTTTCTGTCCAATTTCTGCCCAATTTCCTTTAGATTTACCTTCAACTATGTAGTACAAGAGCCCGCCTAATTGGATACAATTGAAAGTGTTGTTAGGTTTGAACTCGCTTTATATGGTTTTTGGTAAATGTAAACCAAAAATCTCAAGAAAAATGTATAATGTATGGCCAGTTTTAGTTCCAGTGAGGGAACTTTTAAGGCATCATCATACCAAAAATTTTTGGACAATTTCATGCTCCCAACTTTGTGGGAACAGTTTGGGGATGACCACTTCCTGTTCCAACATGACTGCGCACCAGTGCACAAAGAAAAGTCCATAAAGACATGGATGAGCGAGTTTGGGATGGAGGAAATTGACTGGCCTGCACAGAGTCCTGACCTCAACCTGACAGAACACCTTTGGGGTGAATTAGAGTAGAGACTGCGAGCCAGGCCATCTTGTCCGACATCATTACCTGACCTCACAAATGAGCTTCTGGAAGAATGGTCAAACGTTCCAATAGACAATAAACTCCTAAACCTTGTGGACAGCCTTCCCAGAAGAGTTGAAGCTGTTATAGCTGCAAAGGGTGGGCCAACTCAATATTGAACCCTACGGACTAAGACTGGGATTTCATTAAAGTTCGTGTGTGTAAATGCAGGTGTCACAATTTCATGTACGTACAAACTAAATCTAATTTGTTCTTGCTTAGTGCTACACAATGCAATTCCTCTGACTTGGGTGACCGATCAGCAGGCCTTGTAGGAGTCATATCTGTAGCTAAAAAAAAACGGGTTCTAAAGAACGGGACGCGGGACTCCCGATTCCAGGTCACATGATCGCTGTGATAGCCAATAAGAGACTATCACAGTTATCAGTCACTGTACAGTCCAGCCCCCTTGTTTTTTTTTTCTCTTTATGAATGGAGGAGAGAGATACATTGTATCTCTCGAACTCCTGGCATAGAGGGAAAAAAAAGAATGTTTGTAAAAAAAAAAAAAAAAAAAAAAAAATAGCTAAATATAAAACAAATAAAGAAAAAATACCTAGATCAAGGTTTGATTTAGTTTAGTGCCAGGGTTAGTGTTTGGGTCAGGGTCAAAGGTCAGGATTTAAAGAAAAAAAAAAAAAAAAATTGGTATCTGTGTCAGTGTGTTTTGGGTAAAATAAATCGACAAAAACAAAATGTGCACTAAAGTTTCTGGGTTGTACTATGGGTACAAATAACATACACATATATGGTATCGCTGGGATCGTCAGTAGCTGGAGAACTTATTTTGGGTTGTTCTTTGGTGGTAGGTTATGGTAGTAACAAGAAACACACAGCTAAATAAAAAAAAAAATTTTTTTTTTTTAAAACTATTTTGGGCAAGATTTACTTTAATAAAACATAAATCAGGAGATATCCATGACCATTTACCACCAAATGAAAGCCCAATTTGTCCTGAAAAAAAAACAAGGTATAATTCACCTGGATGTACAAAGTAGTTGTGGTGATACTACTAACACATGTCAACGTTGCAAAATTGTACTTAGGCATTTAAATTTGTTTTACCCTTAGGCGTGGAGGGGTTAAAGAGTCAGCCAGTTTTAGAGAATGGTGCATGACACTGTAAGGGAATATTGCTAAGATAAAGGTATGAGCTGAAACTGTACACTTTCATCCACCAGTGCAGGCCTCGTTACTGCATTCATTGTTTTCCACAGGTTGGTTAAAAAAAAAAAAATAATTGTACTGCTGCTGTATAGACTGACATTGCTACCTTTCCGTCAGCTATAGGGAGATGTTGGTTTCAGTACTTTCTGAGTCTCTGAACCAGATTAAGCTTGTAAATCAGAAAAGTCAGAATGAAGTCAGAGCTCCTTTCCTGCACACTTGCTTTCTGCTCAATGACTTAGAAAGTTTTGTGGCCAGTGGGTCAGAATGTCAGGCCGCTAGTATTTTCAGAGGGAAATCAGGACAGGTTCCCTTCCAGCTCATTGCTTTCTCCTATAAAATTATATGTATCTGTGTGTGTGTGTGTGTGTGTGTATATATATGTATGTGTGTGTGTGTGTGTATATATATATATATATATATATATATATTATATATATATATATATATATATAAGCTTTGGGAACATAATAAATTACCTTTTTATGCTGGGCTTATTGATATTGCAAATGTTTCCAACACCTTGCTTAAAATATTTAAGTCTATTTAAGATTTTAAAAAATTAGTAGTTCTAACGCTATAAGTATTATTTTAAAGCATAACCTTATGAAGTATGTTTGTTTGGTTTTAGAGCTCTGGAGATAGTAAACAAGTCTTGGAAAAGAAGGATTTGGAAATGAAAAAAAAACACGCATCTGACAAAAAGACCTTGCAGTCTGCCACAACATCTCACAGAGTCTCTGAAGAAAAACGAGAAAGATTTTCAAAAGATTCTACAGCTGCTCCATCCAATGATGAAAAAACACCAAAATCAGGTATTATTACTTAATGCAAGTTAAGTGTCTGTTTTAGTTTATATGTATTCCTGTGACTCCTGCTGCATTCTTGTATACTCAAACCTAGACATTATCCTAACCATCTTTTGAATGAGATGTACATTTGCTTAAACTGTGTTTTGGTAAACTGGGCATTTCTGTTTCAAAAATATTAACTGTGCTGTTGTCAACAGGTGGTATTGAGAAGCAAGACATTAAAAGAAAGAAACCAGAAAAGAGAGGATCTTCATCAGGTTTTTCTAATCCCTCTCCATCTACACCAAAGCCATCTGTTGACCAAATAAGACAAAGTGTCCGGCAATCTTTAAAAGACATTCTATTGAAAAGGTATGAAAATTGTTAACAGAAATTTTTAAAAAGTCAGTGGGGAAACCAGGCATTTATAAAGGTGGATAACTTTCTTTTTAAAACTGATGAAAAGCTAGATGTCACTCTGAAAGTCAGATGGTGAAAAGTTGGCTTGCACTTTAGATCAGTTTTATAGTCCAGTTGAGGTCAGTTTGAAAAAATCTCAAGATTAGTTTTGGCAGACAGATGTTCACAGGTCTGGAAATACTCAAAAAGAAAAAGTGTGTTCCTCAATTGTCCTCTGAGAGGCACAAGAATTCAGAACCTAGTTACACTACTGCTGACAGGAGGTTGGGCCATTGGCAGACAGAAATATCCAGCCCTATGTAACTCTTCCTCTACCAAGCATGTCTCCATTTTTTGCTAGCATCCTTGGAAGTCTGGTGTCTTTTCAGCTCTGCTGAAAAAAAAAAAAGTTTTGCTTGCCTCCTAGCTATTTGGATTGGCAACTCCTCAGCACCATCAGGCCATATGTGGATCTCTCTGGACTGGACATGCAAGGCTAGCCTGGAATGTGACCTTCAGGCATTGTTGTGCTTTCCATACCGTGTGTGTACTGTGTTATGTACAGAGTGCTATCTGGGTCAACATCTATGGCATCATATGTCCCTGAGCATTTAGTGAGTAAGTCTAGTTGGGCTGTACCACTATTATCTACCTCTCTGTTGCGCTGTTGGGTGATGTTGAATTTCCCACTACTTTGTATTTACTATAGTAAGGTTTAAAGTGTTACTAAACCCACAACAATAAAATCAGTTTGTATATGCAGTGAAGGATGCTTGTTACGCTCACTGTGGAACCTAAGGGGTTAATCCTCTGCGTAAAATGGCTGTTTGATCCTTTCTTCTCTGCCCCTCCTCTTGTTCAAATGTCCACGTCTTATCTCCTGTTAAGACAGACTGAATCCATAGCCATTCTACACATGCTCAGTTTAGTGTGTTGTATGTACTCTCCAGCGCCTCAGGATATGCACAGCCAAAAGAGAAGCCAAGGGAATCAGGACAGCAACAACCAAGGAAATGCTTCAGGGGTGCAGCCCTCCTCAGATGGGGATATCAGCCACTAGATAGAGAATAAACAGGTGGTGCACACACCTAGTGCATTATCCAAGGTTTATTGAACAGGAGTGAAAAATAAAAACATACTCAGACAAAGCATGTATCTAAAAAGCATTTGCATAATGACGATGGCCACAACAGCAAGCAAGGTGTTCCAACTGTCAGTGCGGTCAAATGGCTGACGCGTTTCTGGGACTAATCCCTTTCCTCAGAGCTACTGACCAGCCTCTGATGCAGATGTGTAGTGGATGGATGATGGAAGCCTTGCTGGTGATGGCATTTAGATGTTTATATTTACTAAAAGTGCTCTTCCATGTTCTGTGTACTGTGGGAGACCAGATATAGTGAATGCAGGGTCCTGGGTTTAGTAACACTTTAAGACTGAATGATCGAGTGCTGTGTGTTGCATTCAGCACTGAGAAAGCATTATCCCACTGGCGCTCCTGCTCTTGAAGCACCAGGTGGATTTTGGTCTGTTCCCACTGCCTGCCTACAGGGCATTGGTCACCTTCAGCCACCTGAAACCCTCAACACCAGCTGCCAATGTTTTTAATAATTTTTAATCACCTTTCAGAAACAATTGAGTACTGTCCGTGATACTTTTTTTATTTGCACTAACATACAATTTTGAGGACAAGCTTTCGGGGTATGTCCCCTTCTTCAAGGCCTAAGCAGTACTATCACCTTAATCACCTTTCATCATTTTGGGCCTAGTTACAGTGGGGATCGAAAGTTTGGGCACCCCAGCTAAAAATTTGTATTAATGTGCATAAAGAAGCCAAGGGAAGATGGAAAAATCTCCAAAAGGCATCAAATTACAGATGAGACATTCTTATAATATGTCAACAAAAGTTAGATTTTATTTCCATCATTTACACTTTCATAATAACAGAAAACAAAAAAAATGGCGCGTGCAAAGGTTTGGGCACCCTGCAGAGTTAATATCTTGTACTGCCCTCTTTGGCAAGTATCACAGCTTGTAAACGCTTTTTGTAGCCAGCCAAGAGTCTTTCAATTCTTGTTTGAGGTATCTTTGCCCATTCTTCCTTACAAAAGTCTTCCAGTTCTTTGAAATTTCTGGGCTGTCTGTCACGCACTGCTCTTTTAAGGTCTATCCATAGATTTTCAATTATGTTGAGGTCAGGAGATTGTGAAGGCCATGGCAAAACCTTCAGTGTACGCCTCTTGATGTAATCCCCCGTGGATTTCGAGGTGTGTTTAGGATTATTATCCATTTATCCTCTCTTTAACTTCAGCTTTTTCACAGATGGCATCAAGTTACCATCCAAAATTTGCTGAAATTTTATTGAATCCATTTTTCCTTCTACTCGTGAGATGTTCCCTGTGCCACTGGCTGCAACACAACCCCCAAAGCATGATTGATCCAACCCCATGCTTAACAGTTGGACAGAGGTTCTTTTCATTAAATTCTGTGCCCCTTCTCCAAACGTACCTTTGCTCATTCCGGCCAAAAAGTTCAATTTTAACCTCATCGGTCCACAGAACTTGTTTCCAAAATGCATCAGGCTTGTCTATATGTTCATTTCCAAAGTTCAAACGATGATTTTTGTGGTGAGGACGTAGAAGAGGTTTTCTTCTGATGACTCATATTTGTACAAGTATCTCTTTATAGTGGAATAGTGTACCACAACTCCAGTGTCTGCCAGATCTTTCTGGAGGGATCGTGCAGTCAAACGTGGGTTTTGCATTGTTTTTCTCACAATCCTGCGAGCTGTTCTGTCTGATATTTTTCTTGGTCTTCCAGATCTTGCTTTAACTTCCACTGTTCCTGATGACTGCCATTTCTTAATTACATTCCGAACAGAGGATATTGACATCTAAAAACGCTTTGCTATCTTCTTATAGCCTTCTCCAGCTTTGTGAGCGTCAACTATTTTCAGTTTCAGTTTTCTAGACAACTGCTTAGAAGAACCCATGGTGCTGATTGTTGGGGCAAGGTCAGATGAGTCTGGGCATTTAAAACCTTTGAGACTGACATCACCTGGTCTTCCCAGACGATGATTGAGAACAATCCATGACACTGGCAGGTCTCAGCTTTGCAAAGGGAGCAGTGCATGCTATAAATTCTGCAGGGTGCCCAAAGTTTTGCAGAGTTTTTTTTTGTTTTCTGTTATTTTGAAAGTGTAAATGATGGAAATAAAATCTAACTTTTGTTGACATATAAGAATGTCTAATCTGTAATTTGATGCCTTTTGGAGATTTTTCCATCGTTCCTTGGCTTCTTTATGCACATTAATACACATTTTTAGCTGGGGTGCCCAAACTTTCGATCCCCACTGTACATTACTGCTGAGCAGATGCATCATATCTTTGCTAAGACACACAGCGGACAGTTCCACTTCCACAGGTGAGCTTAGCCCATACTCCCCTAGTAGTTCTGTGGACATTTAACTGCTATAACCAGAAAGAGTTGCCTGTAATCTGGATTTGGGCCCCCTATTGTCATAGGATCATCCTTGTCCTTATCTGTTTATGCTCAGATACTGGGGTGCTTTGCCAACAGATGTTTCTCATCACATTTTGTTCTGTTAGCTCTGAACATCCTGAGCCCCTAGCACAAGTTGGACCTGGAATCCTTGTTACGGTCTCTGATTCCCATTCAGAGACCCAGCAGTCTATCTGTGGTGTTCAGGTCCCTTCAGTCTCCTTCAGCTGACTCAGATTTACAGGGGGTTGTTTAAAATCGTTAAGATGCAGTGCATACAATGCTGCACCTAGAGGATCAGCCTCTTGTTCCAGGCCTTGGTTCTTTCCTGCAGTTGTAAAGACCTTCCTAACACAGTCACTATTTGCATTCACCTGTAATCCACCTTAACAGACAGACCACCAAACGGGCGGAAGGTATGCTCACTGGTGTGGCTCTCTGCCTGCTTTGGCAGTAACTTTAACCTCCTGTTCTGTGTCAGAATGGCTGGATCCCCTTAAAGAGGGATCCATTCGATGGAATGGTTGGAGCAAATGCCTGGTGCCTAGTGCTTTAGCATCTAAACATGTGTCTTGCATGGAACTGATATCTGTGCAAATGCGGAGGGCACTTTGCGTGCTTGGGACACTGACTAAGCATCAGAGCTTGATCCAGTTACTCTTCGAGGGACCACGTGACTTCCAATCTGATATTAACACCGTTATTGGTGATTCCACGTGTGGCTGCAGTGCACTCTTGCCTCAATGCAGGTCTGTGGAAGTTGAGGAATGTCACCCTGCTTCTTCATGTATTTCAGCAGTCAGTACATGTAGGCATTCTGAGCCTACTCCCTATTCAAGCTGGAAGCACGCTCCCTCTGGTAAGCCACCTGCATGAAGGTTTGTAGCCAATTCTACAACTGACACTGTTTGCAAACTTGGCTAGGTTTTTTTCAGATATGCCTGGCTTCCTCACACTCTAGAGGAAACTTGTCTTTGGGAGCAATTCCCTGCATGGGCTTACACTGCTGTTTTCGACAGAGTTCCTTATTCAATTACAAGGCCACTCCTTGTATGGCATTGATTATTTCCAAAACTGTCAGGAAGATTCTACACGGGCCTTAACCTCTTGCCGACCGCGCATAGCCGAATGACAGCTTCATCGCGGCCGGCCAGTTCTGAGTGGACGTCATATGACGTCCTCCCAGAACGCGCTCTCCTGCGCGCCCCAGGGGGCGCGCACGCGGCGATCTCCGTGATCGCTGTGTCCTACGGACACAGCTGATCACGTGATGTGGTGAAAGGCCGATCCCACCGGCCTTTTACCACGTGATCAGCGGTGTCCAATGACACGCTGATCACAGGGAAATGCAAGTGCCGGTTCTCGGCTGCACTTTCCTCACGCTGTCAGATCGTGAGGAAAGTACTGCCGAGAACCGGCAGTTGTCAGAGCGGGGATCGGCACCGATCATCAGGGCACTGATGATCAGTGCCCTG